GGCCGGAGCTGCTCTGGCGCCGGGAAGCGGGCAGCAGAGAAGGCCCAGAGCGTGGGCAGGGAGGGGAGACGGGGGCCTCCCGAAGGGTCTCCTTGCAGGCTAAGGAGAGTTTACTGGAAAGTGACCGAGCAGCCCCTCAGCTGCCTTCGACACCTGCCTCCCACTCCGTTCCCCCAGGCAGGAGAAATGTCCCTTCCACTCTGCTCCCGCCCAGCCAGTGGGACTCGGCTGGCACAGGGTACCTGCAGGAGGCGTCCGGGACGGAGGAAGTGGCCGGGAGCCCTCAGTGGTGCTGTGGGCACTGCCAGGGCAGGGCCTGGGTCCTGCTGGAGGCCGCACACTGGGCCGAGTGTGCGAATACAGGAGCCTCTGGCACCCGACTGTTGCGTGGCGAGCACAACACACAGCCCAGAGGGAAAAGACCCCACTCGGACTGTCAGACGTCTTTTGGTGGCCTTAAACCCCTCAGTTTGTCAGGTCCTGTGGTGAGTCTGGTGCTGCTGCATCTTCTCCAGGAAGAACCGATCCAGCTCCCTCAGCTTTCCCTCATGGGAGAGGGAAACCCGTGTTCCTTTACCGTGTTTGTGGCCCTTCTCTGGGCTCTCCCCAGTAGCTCCTCATCTCTCGTAGGCTGGAGAGCCCAGAGCGGGCACCGCACTCCAGGTGTGGCCTCACGGGGCAGGGGAGAGGGCAGGATCCCTCCGGCTCCCGCTGGCAGCACGCCCAGTGAGCCCGGCAGGGAACTGGGCTGCTCACCGCCGGCCCGTGCTCCTCCTGGGCCCTGCTGGGTGAGCTGCTCTTGGTTCATGGCGGTTTTCCTCCCCAGGTGCAGTGCTTCCTGTGGGCTCCTTTCTCCAGCCATTGAAATAGAATTGTTAAAACAGTTTTTTTGAAAAACACAAGTGATAAAGCAATAGCTTTTAACTTTGTCTAAGTTAAAAGGTCCTTTTCCCTTCAAGGGACACCAAAGAAAAGAGAAACAATAATGAAGAATTAAATTTTCATTCTTCTTGAAGAAAAAAATGGTGAAGTGATTTGAGACACAGTTGTATTCCATGTAGGGTGAAACAAAGCAATAGTACTAGTATATTGTTGCTCACTTTTATGCTTTTTCCACCTCACCTTTGGCCTTCAGATGACACAGATATCTTTAAATTTGTTGTCATGGTTTGGTTTGCTTTTTTCCTAAAATCTAGAACATTGCTTTTTCATTGATAAAAAGTTTTTAGTGGGAGGTTGAAACAAGATGTTTAGTCTCACCCATGAGATGTACTTTCAGTCTTCACATCCTGCCATTCTTTTGTCCATTTGAAGGTCAAATTTATAGAGATTAATACTGATAAATGCACATCAGCCATCTAATAGCATCTGGGGCATTCTGCAGTCTCTAGGTCTGTAGTGAATTCTCAGACTAGGCATACAGTCTGCCATATATTTATTTGTAGGTTTACACTTCATGAAAATTAACCTGAATGGTAGCAACTGCAAAGTTAAAGCATTGTTACACATCCTGAATGATTTATGTGGGTTTAAGGTTGAATCCAGATCTTTTTCTAAATCACAAAATCATAGAATGTTAAGGGTTGGAAGGGACCTTAAAAGACCATCTAGTCCCAACCTCCCTGCCATGGGCAGGGACACCTTCCACTCAACCAGGTTGCTCAAGATCTTATCCAACCTAAAAAATAAACATCTGCCTGGAATATCACTCTGCATCTCTGGAATGTTTTTTCTTCAGAAAAAAAATCTCATCAAATTTCAAAGTTGATTTCAGAAAAGCATTTAGATAATATATAGAGGACACTGACTTAAAATTTGGGATGCATGACATGAAAACATATACTTGATGATCTCTCACTGATGTATATAATAACAATGTCCTAGAGATCTACAAGACCATTTATTATCTGTATTCCAAGAATGTTGCATGTGAGTATTAAGGTGCCTGTTGCATAAGCAATGACCTCATCTGTATTGTTTGGCATATTTTACTGTATCTGCTTGGAATAAGTTGCAACTGACTTCTGATTTTTTCCTGGAGCTGCAAATAGAATGGTGCAGCTGACAATAAGGAAAAAAAGTCGTCATCATGATCTCATCATGATACCTCAGAATTAATTTAGTTGCATTGCTTGTCTGTCATTTAAGTACCTTGTTGTCATTTAAATAGTATGTAAAAAATTCCAGATACTTTAAGAAAGGCATGAGAGGGAGCAAGCTTTAAAAAGAAGGGGAAGAAGGGAAAACATGTGAAGTAATTTTGTGTACTAAAAGCAGCTACTGAAGCAAACCTCTAATTAGGATATTTTTTCAATAACATTTTCTTATCCTTTGTAAGTACTCTGTACAAGTTTTATACCATTAACAGGAGAAACTGATACCAAAAATGAGGGGTATTAGGGTAATAAATTAGGATGAAACATACCACAATAGTGAAAAGGAATCTTTCTCTCTTTGTTAGTTTACAGGCTAGTCAATGACTCTTGTAAAAAAACCTGCATAAATGTATGGGGATTTACTATAAGTTGTATTTAATGTTTTAAAATGTTTGTAAACGTTTTGTACAGTAGAGTGCATTGAAAGTAAGCCTATTCCTGCAGGAGATTTCAGATCAATGCCACAGTATCCACAAGTATTACCATGAAACAGCATGTTAAAATGAATGCACCCAACAACGAGTCTGCATGGTCTGCTTTTATTGTTATAATTGAACAAAAGAGAGACCCATCAAAAATGGGTCCACATAAAGGGATTTTTTAAATGGAATTTTTAAAATAAAAGATATTTTAAAATATAGGTTTTAGCCTGACAGTGTCCCTTTCAGTTTGTGGGATCAGGTGGAGAAATTTCTTACACACACAGAGCCTTCACACTGCCCTGAAGGCTGGCAAATTAGTAAGATAAGCAGATCTCCATTTGCAAAAGTAATGTTTTTGCCACTTCTGATTCTCCGGAAATTTCAGAGAAAGGAATTGTCTTGTGATTGAAATATTACATTCTGCTTTGCTTCACCAAGAAGAGCACACTATAAAAGAAATTCAGGGAACACACTTACTCTTTTCACAGTAGGCTACAAAG